TGATCTTGGAACCCCAACCATCAAGAGACTGTCAGCCAGTGGACTCTGAATAGGTTTCATTACGGTTGGGACGGAGAGATTGGCAGCAATCCAGAACTGATGAACTATCAAAACTGTATGAGCAGGACCCTTGGAGCGCGCCTCATGTTGGGGATGGGGGATGGGTGGGAGGTAGGGTGGGGCTTTCCCCTTTGTTACTCCCCTAACCCTAGATACAGGGAAAAATGATTATATTAGTGTGGAAACAATGATATTACCCACTTTCACCCTGTAGCCCGTGACCCTTTGTACCCTAATAAACTAAGATTATTTAAAAAAAAAAAAAAAAAAAAAGAAATTGGACAATCCCAGTTGTAGTTCTGAAGTGAATAAGAATTCCAGCTTTGCCCTTAATCTCTGGGTGATAACCTTTAATTTTTTTCCCCTTAGGTAACCATTTGAAGGCAGAGAAGCAGAAAAAGAAGATACCCAAGTCCTACGTGAGAGTACGTGAGAGTACCTGGCTTACTCCCCACAGGTAGTAAGAGCCAGGGCTGGACCAGGCCAAAGGAAAACTGGAATTCCAGCCGGGTCTCTCCCATGGGTGGCAGGGACCCAAGCACTTGGATTACCTTCCACTTGAAACCAATCAGCTGGAATCCCAACAATGTGCGATGCGGGAGTCACTAGCACTGGCTTAATTAGCTGCACATCCAGCCCCATGGACAATTAATTTCTGCAGAGTTTCACTATCCACGAAATGAGTTTAAAAATTGTTTAGGGGAGACTCAGTGACATAGGATGTGCAGAAATTCTACCACATATATACATGTAATTTCTCTTTCCCTAACTAGAAGTCACTTCTAAAGTATTCTTTTTCAAAAATGTGTTAAGCTGGAAATACAATGTTCTCTCTGAACATTCTAGAAAACCACCCTTTCTTAATACACATATACACTATATATATTAGTATATATTACTATATATGTGATATATAACATACAATAAATATAAGACATGTATGTATGTCTGCGCATGTATATGTGTGTATGTTTACATATATACAAAATACCTGCAGGTGCACATGAAGGATATGGCAGTACATTGGAGTCTGCAGAGGACACCTGGTACCAGAATTACCAGAATAGAAGATAGAGGACAGAACAAATTGATCAACTACCACAGCCAAGTGTTGGCAGCACATATCTAGGCAAAAGCTGGTCACTGTAGCCATTTGCAGAGATGCAAGCTCTCTCTCTGCCAATCCCTTTCTCAGTTTAACTCTTTCAACTAAATAAACTATAAAAAACAATAACTACAGATCTGCAAGCAATTTTCATTTTTGTTTCACTTCAAGAAGTAGACAACATTAATGAATTCCCACTGCCTTATGCATATTTTTACAGATGATAGCTTATTTAACCAACATGATTATCCTATTGAAGCAGGCATCTTCAGCAATGCTTTAAGAGATAATCTGACAGTTTCAAGGATCATAGTATAAAGGAGATGGGTCTAGAAACCAGGCCTGTCTGATTCAGCAGCCTCAGTTCTCTAAACAAATACACATCTTTTCCCAAAGCTTGATCATTCATCCAGTCATCCCAAATGTATCAAGCACCTATTATTTCCTAATAGCCTATGTGGGATTAAGATATACAACAAAACGCAAGCACTCTGCCCCCATGGTGCACAGTGTCTTACGAAGCAGATACTAAACAAGCATACAGCTAGCACAGGATGCTATTTATTTATAATGGAAAAAAGATCACTAAGGAGACACGAGGGCTGAGATCTCAAAAACGAGGGTAACTTGACAGGAAGATCAGCAGTTACAAAGAAGACCCTTCATACATTCCTGCTACTATCGTTAACACGCCACCTACTGGCTAATTTAGAATACAAATTCATTTGTCACAGTCATAAATGCTGGGAAGTTCAAATTACAGGTGCAGCAGATAAAGTGTCTGATAAAGGCAGAGCCCTCATAAGATAATGATCTGAAAAGTCCTACCTCTTAACACCATCAAATGGGAATGAAGTTATCCACATAAAATTTTTAAAAATATCTATTTTACTTATTTGAAAGGCAGAATTGCATGAAGAGAAAAGGAGAGACAAAGAGAGATAAATCTTCCATCTTCTGATTCATTCCTAAGTGGCTGCAACGACCAGGGCTGAACTACACTAAAACCAGGAGCCAGAAGTTTCATTCAACTATCCACATGGGTGGAAACATCTAAGCACTTGAACCAGTCTCCAGTGCTTTCACAGGCACAATAGCAGGTTGCTGAATCCAAAGTAGACAAACCGACATCCACTCAAGGATGCTAATAGTGCAGGTGGCAGCTTAACTTGCAAAGGCACAATGCTGATCACCCAATAGCTTTTCTTTATGTTTTTTAAAGAGTTAATCTGTAAGAGAGAGAGAGATAGGAAGAAATAGATCTTCCATCTGTTGGTTCATTTGCCAAATGGCCACAACAGTCAAAAGTAAGCTAGCCAAATCCAGGAGGCAAGAAATCCATCCAAATCTTGCACATGGGTGCAAGGGACCAAGGACTTGGGCCATCTTCCACTGGCTTCCCAGGCATATTATCTGGATCAGAAGTGGAGTAGATGAGACTTGAACAGGTGCCCGTATGGGATACAGGCACTGTAGGAGACGGCTTAACCAATCACACTACAACACCAGCCCCTACACATGAATTTGGAGAGACCCAAACATTCAAACCATACATGTACAATAGTGGTAAGAGGTAGGACTTTTAAGAAGGTGATAAGCTACAAGGGCTTCCACACCTGTGAACCGATGTTAGTGCCTTATAAAATGGTTTGAGAGGTAGTTTACCAGTTGAGAAAACCACATCCCATGTTGAAGGGCCTGGGTTTGATGCCTGGCTCTAGTTACTGATTGTAGTTTTCTGTAATTGGGATCCTAAAGAGGCAACGGTGATGGTTCAAGTCGGTAGGTTCCTGTCTCCTGAGGAGACATGCTGTGTTTAAGGCTTTCAGCCACTTCAACAGCAGCACACATTTGGGGAGTGGACGGGAGAACCTTCTCTCTGTCCCCCTTTCAAACAGGTTGTAAAATAACAGACATTATATTCAAAGCAAAGAGCAACACTCACCCAATTCGAAATCTACCCGCACCTTAACATTGGACTTCTCAGCCTTCAAAAATGGAAGAACACATATTTTTCTTCTTTGTAAATTACCTAGCATCAGGTTATTTTGTTATAACAGCAAAAATAGACTAAGATACACAGTACATGCAAAAATGCTGGGAAAAAAAAATCAAGCGTATAATGTTCAGAGTTGCAAAGAAGCCAGAGTAGCTAGGAATATCTACAGGGAAGAACAAATCACCACCAGGGTAGGCACAGACCAAGCCACAGAGAAGCCATGAAAAGAAGTTTTGCATTCAGTCAAGTGTAATGAGATAACCTCTGAAGAGCTGTGACAGAGTGGCATGCCATAGATATATAGATAGATATTCTTATATATATATATATAAGAATATATATATATTCTTTTTAAGATCTATTTTATTTTAATTGCAAAGTCAGATGTACAGAGAGGAGGAAATACAGAGAGGAAAATCTTCCATCTGCTGATTCATTCCCCAAACGGGCACATTGGCCAGAGCTGAGCTGATCCAAAGCCAGGAGCTTCTGCCAGGTCTCCCATGCAGATACAGGGTCCCAAGGATTTGGGCTGTCTTCAACTGCTTTCCCAGGCCTCAAGCAGGAAGCTGGATGAGAAGTGGGGCCACTGGGACTAGAACCGGCACCCATATGGGATACTGGCACATGCAAGGTAAGGACTTTAACCACTAGGCTACCACACTGGGCTCTAATGTATTTTTTTAATAAAAGATTTATTTTTATTTAAAAGGCAGATTTACAGAGAGAGAGAACTTCCATCCACTGGCTCACTCCCCAAATGACTCCAACAGCAGGAGCTGAGCACTCTGAAGCCAGTGGTAGGAGCTTCTTCTTGCCTCCCACGTGGACACACAGGCCCAAGCACATAGGAGTCCTCTGCTTTCTTCCCAGGCACATCAGCAGAGAGCTGGATTGAAAGAGGAGCAACTGAAACTCAAACTGTGGCCCATATGGGATGCCAGCACCACAGGGAGAGGATTAGCTTGCTGCACTGATCCCATGTCTAATGTATTTTTTTTTTAAGGATTTATTTATTTCTATTGGAAAGGCGGATATACAGAGAGGAGGAGAGACAGAGAGGAAGATCTTCCGTCCAATGGTTCACTCCCCAAGTGGCTGCAACGGCTGGAACTGAGCTAATCCAAAGCCAGGAGACAGGAGCTCTTCTGGGTCTCCTACACGGGTGTAGGGTCCCAAGGCTTTGGGACGTCCTTGACTGCTTTCCTAGGCCACAAGCAGGGAGCTGGATGGGAAGCGAGGTTTCTGGGATTAGAACTGGCACCCATATGGGATCCCAGCATGTTTAAGGAGAGAATTTTAGCCACTATGCTATCGCGCTGGGCCCTGTCTAATGTATTTTTAAAATGTTATTTCGTCTGCAACATGAATAACAGATTAGGGAAAGCAGGGATTCCAGAGAGGGATAGGCAAGAGATGGACAGCTTGAACTAACGGGATGCCAAGGGGACAAGGAAATGCACATACCAGAGGACTCGGACTGGGAAGGAAAATCAAGAGGAAATTTAGGCCAATGTCCACATCCCCAGTATTAGTACCTGAGTGGAAAGTGGTTTCATTTTCTGAGATAAAAAAAAAAAAATTAGAAAAGAAACAGACTTGGTGAGAAAACAAGTAATTCAATTTAAAAAGACATGAGGCATACAGAGGAAGATATCAAGTGCACTGTTAGATACCTGAAGTTCAGGGGAGGCCCATGTGCTAGCGAGATGTCCACCAGCCCTTCCTAGATGAGCTGTGATCTCCACCACAGTCTCCAGCAGTCTCATAGCACACTCCCCGGCTTTCATCATCAGCTTAGCCCTAACAAGCAGATCTGCAAAGCACAGCACATACCTCGCCTTGGAAAATAGTGTAGAGAGCAGGCAGGTTTTCCATGGTCTCAGGCCTTCCTGAATTCATTCTTGATGCTCTACGGCTCCTCCATTTCTCTTCTGCTAGAGCTAATCCGGGTGTCCTGTCACGAAGAAAGAAAACAGATGCCAATTAGAGACATCGATAATTAAAGATACGAATGTGAAGCCAGTCTCCACAGATGCAACACCATCTACTTTAATCCACATCTCTTTTGTCTACCCCAGTTGTGAGGATTTTTGGAAACCGATTTTTGCCTTCCAGTTTGCTATCTATTCAGGGCTGGTTCTGTCTGATTGGATTGTTTTGTTGTTAGCACTGTTGTTTTTCCAAGGGAAAGCTGCAGTAGATGATCAGAACAGTGTATGCGATGGCCTCTAAAAAAAAAAAAAAGGAATGACAAAAGGAACTAGTATTTGTCAAGTAAATTTCCTGCTGCTCAGGTATTGTGCTAAATGCCAAGCCTGCACCATCTCATTGAAGCCTCAACATCCAAGATAATGTCTTCTACTGTCCTAATTTATAAAAGTGGGGGGGGGAGGGAGGTTCCTTGAAGTCAAATTACAAAGCCTATGTCAAAAGTCCAGCAAACAAATTGTGGCCCCAGAATCCATGCTGTTAATGACTATGTTCAGCATTAAATCTGAACTTATTTCAAAAGGAGAAAAAAATTTTTCACTCTTTTTGCTAATAAAAATAAGTAATTCCAGGCCCGGCGGTGAAGCCTAGCGGCTAAATTCCTCGCCTTGAATGCACTGGGATCTCATATGGGTGCTGGTTTGTATCCTGGCTGCTCCACTTCCCATCCAGCTCCCTACTTGTGGCCTGGGAAAGCAGTTGAGGGCGGCCCAAAGCTTTGGGACCCTGCACCCGTGTGGGAGACCTGGAGGAAGTTGCTGGCTCCTGGCTCCGGATTGGAACAGCAGCAGCCATTGCAGTCACTTCATCTTCATCGGATAAAGATCTTCCTCTCTATATACCTGACTTTGTAATAAAAATAAATAAATCTTTTAAAAACAAATAAATAAAAATAAGTAATTCCATCCTTCTTCCAGTGGATAGAAGATCTCTTTTTGGCTCATTGTCTCTAAATCTGTCACTAAAATAAAATAAACTAATCCTATTTTTGAAAATTGTTTTTTAAAACACTGAGATGTGGTCCAGCCAGAATGCTAGAGGTCCGCCCTAGCTCTGCTCTCACTGCCTCGGGATGTCTACCTTGGGGAGAAGCACTGGCTGAAGCACTGGGAGCTGCGGGATCCCTGCCAGACGGGGGATCCAATCACACGGGTGAACACTTCCCCCTCTCTATCAAGATTGTAAAATTCTTTTGAACACACTCTCATACACACCTTTCCCAAGTCTCCAGTGTCTCATAGTGTAAAGCACACAAAATTTATAACCGAATGCTAAAATACTTAACAGTATTTAATTTCATTTTGAACTGTTAATTAATTTATCAATTCAGTACAACATCCACTGATATTTATAAGTAAGGTCCTATAATGACTATAAGTCTTTCATCCTTAAAACGAATCTACAAAGTTGGCAACTCTTCATTTACAGAAATGAGGTAACATGTCCAAATTTACGTAGCTAGAAAAAGATAAATATTACACCATTCCAAATGTCACACACACGTCGTTAAACCATCATTCTCAACTAAGTCCTTGACCTCAAACACTTTCCAGTCTAGCAGATAATGGTGACCCTTACAAAGCACTGTGGTAGTATCTGGGAAGAGAGTCTGGTGGAAGCAGGTTAGTTCAAGAGGATAAATGGGAGGAGCCGGCACTGTGGCACACCACTACATTAAGATGCCACTCGCAATGCCTGTGGCCCACGTGGAGTGCTCATTTGATCCCCTGCGTCCCATATGCAAGACAAGGACAGAGTGCTAGGCTCCAGTCACTCTGCCTTTCAAATAACAAATGTTTTTTTTAACAAAGAGGAGGATATAGAGAAGTCCTCTTACAGAGAATAGTTTGCAACGTTTTATGTATTTAGGGTCAGCACTGTGGTACAGAGGGTGAAACTACCACCTGTGGCACCAGCACACCACATGGGTGTTGGTTGGAGTCCTGGTTGCTTCAATCCAACCCAGCTAGCTTCTTGTCAGTGCACTGTGAAAGCAACAAAGGATGACCCAAGTCCTTGGAGCCCTGCACTCACACAGGAGACCTGAAAGAAGCTCCTAGATCCTGGCTTCAGACAGGCCTAGCCAGCCACTGTAGCCATTTGGAGAATGACCCAGCAGATGGGAGATATTTCTGTGTCACCTCCTTCTAACTCTGCCTAAAAAATAATAATAATAATAATAATTAATTTAAAAAATTACCACTGCCTTTGCCACAATCAAGAATGGGCACCACCACAAAAAAAACCTTAAAACCAGGAAGAGGCTCATTGAAGAAAGGCACTGCCATTACAGTATTTGTCAGCAAAACCAAATGCCTCCTACTCCTTTTCTCTTATTTAATCCAGTTACAAATTAAGTTCTCATCATAGGGCCCTGCACGGTACCCTTGTGGCTAAAGTCCTCATCTTGCATGCGCCAGGATCTGTTACGGGCAGTTGTTCTAATCCTGGCAGCACCATTTTCCATCCAGCTCCCTGCTTGTGGCCTAGGAAAGCAGTCAAGGACGGCCCAAAGCCTTGGGACCCTGCACCCGCGTGGGAAACCCTGAGGAGGCTCCTGGCTTCCCACCAGCTCCGCTCCGGCTGTTGCGGCCACTTGGGGAGTCAATCGGCAGATGGAGGATCTTACTCTCTGTATACGTGACTTTCCAATAAAAATGAAATAAATCTTAAAAAAAAAAAAAGAAGGTGGAACATCTGTGGAACAAGCTATATATACCCGAAATAGCCTGATATGCTGAGGCAAAAATTTTATTTCCAACCTTAACTAAACATTTAACTCTATCTAGAAGTTCTGTATTTCTCTAGTAATCTTAATCTCCCACATTATATATAGCTTCTTCAAGCCTCTGACTGCCTCTCTAATTCATGATTCTACTTTCTAAGACAGAGGAAATAAAAGCCATGAGATAGGAAATCACTTCACCAACACCAATCATAGATCATTATGCATCTATAACCTTCATTTCCCTTGTCCTCTTCTGTTAAAACAGAGCAACTGTCCATCTTCCCCAAGCTGATCACCCTACCTTCATACTGTACTTTGGACCCCACCTATTCCCACGTTTTCAGAAATCATACACTACTGATATCCTACTTTCACTCTGGTACTTACATCCAACTTCTCCATCGCCTTCTCTACTGGATCCTTGTTAAACCCTCATCCCCATCAGCTACTGTGTCATTTCCTTCTCCTTACAGTTCTATCTTGAAAACACTGGCTGGGTTCACTGCCTTCATTTCCTTGCCTGAATCCTTCTGTCATATATGGTTTTTGGCTCCCTTACACCAACAAAATAATTCTTGATAGAGGACCAGGATGATAAAAACCAAGATACTTTTCAATCCTCACATTATTTAATTTCCAAGAGTTTTTAAGACAGATTGCTCCTTTGCTTCTGAGCCATCCCCTCAGCCCACCTCTGTAGCTCTTTTTTTGGATGGAGGGGGGAGGTGGATGAGGGGAGATGCAGGTGTTTGCTCCCCAAATGAATGCAACAGCTGGAACTGTGCCAATCTGAAACCAGGGGCCAGGAGCCTTTATAGGTCTCCCATGCGGGATCCCAAGGCTTTTGGGTCATCCTCAATTGCTTTCCCAGGCCACAGCCAGGGAGCTGGATGGGAAGTGCAGCTCTCCAGACATGAAACAGCACCTAAATGAGATGCACCTAAGTTAGAGTATTAGCCAGGTGAGCCATCATGCCAGCCCCTAGCTCTTCTTTTTCTTTCTTACCTGTTCTTTGCCATTAAATATTACAACTACTCATAGTTTTGACTTGAGCGACCTTGCCAATACCACAAGTTCAATTATCACATACATAGCAATTATTTCCAAACTTACATTTCAAATTATTTCCAAACTTACATTTCCAAATTATTTCCAAACTTACATTTCAAATATCTCTCTTCTGCACACCAAAGCTGTATTTTAAATTGCCTCCTGAATCTCAGCAATAACCTCCACACACCAAAGCAATAAGAACCACCACCAAAAAAACCCACCAAGAACAAAGATTGGCCTGGACAATAACAAAAAGCCACCAAGAATACCAGAGTCTTGGCCACCTTCTAGTGTCTGCTGTCTCAGCGAATGGTACCACCACCTATTCAAATAGACACCAGAAACCAAGGAATTGCCTCTGCGTCCTCTCTTCTCTCCAGCAGGCACGACCTCCAGGATCTCCAGTTGCTGAACCTACCCCACTCTCTGCTCACGGACCACCAGCCCAATTCACTGTGACACCATCTCGGCCCAGCATTTCTGCACATCCTCCCGCATCACGAGGGTCCCTCTCTCCCCAATCTGTTCATACTACGAAGCCAGCGCGAGGAGCCAATCAAGCCCCTCTCCCCAGGGAAGAGTCTCTGCGTTTTCCCATCCCAGTTAAGGAAAAGGATACAAATTTCTACACAGCCTGATCTCTGGAACCTGCAAGTTTCATCTTGTTCCACATTCCCTCACACTTGTAGCAGGCACACTGGCTCGCAGTGCCCTCAGCACTTTTCCTTCCAAATGATACACAACTGCTGGGCATGCTGTTCTGTTACAGAATGTTCTCTCCTCACCCCATTACACCTCCTCCTTCAGCTATCAGCTTGGGCATCTTTCTCCCACAAAAGCCTTCTTTTTATCTCAGGCACAAAGTGTCTTCTCTTGGTAAGCACTTCCGGGAGATCCTTCTGGGACCTCTCTATTCCCCATCACCCCGAAAGCCCGAGATCAGGCAGGCAATGCCTCCTCAATGACAGGCAGAGTGGACGCTAGAGAGGACCAGTGGCACGGGTCTGGGAAGACTGCGATCCGGACAAGGAGGCGGACATTTCCTCCGTCACTGCTTCTCGCGCGGACACGGAGCAGGACTGGGCACTAGAGCCGCACAGGGCGCTAGGGAAGGCCCCTGTGGACGCTGACCAAGGAGTGGTCACCGCCGGCCACTCCACAAGTCAGCGGTGAAAGGCCCCAGGTAAGCAGCGCATCCACGTCCTGCCCATTCGAGTGGGGAAAGGGGCTGTGAACCCGAGGCCCGCTTCCCGCCCTCTGAGAGCAACACCTGGGGCTGAGAGCTGAGCCGCACACCGCACGGCCGGGGCGAGCAGCCGCGCTCCTCCTCTACCTCCTACTCACACAGGCTCGGCTTCAGACCTCGCTGCCGCCGCACCGCGCCGGACGCCAATCCCACTCTGCGCGGTTCCAGCACCCACAAGACTCAGCGCGCCTAGGCGGGACGCCGGCTCCCTCCACCAATCCTGGAATTGCACTCTCGTGGCGTCATCACCAATTAACCAATAACACAAGAGTATTCTGAAGGCGGAGCAGGGGGAAACCATGGAGACTCATTGGTAGACTCAGGCCGGAAGTGTTGCTGGAAGGACTCAATGGGAACCAATCGCAAGGAGCTGAAGGGTGTCGGCGCGGCCCGCGGTGGTTCTGTGCACAGCGGCTGCCGCCATGATAGAACAGCAGAAGCGAAAAGGTCCAGAGCTACCGCTGGTCCCGGTCAAGCGGCAGCGCCATGAATTGCTGTTGGGAACCGCAGGGTCTGGCCCTGGAACGGGGCAACAGCCAGCGGCGCCGGGAGCTTTACTGCAGGCGGTGAGTGGAGGAGCACACGGCCCTGGGGCCTCAGCTCTTCCCGGAGCTGTTCCGGGTGGTCCGGCACGGCGGGAACGAGAGGCTCTGCCTGGAGCTGGAGCAGATGAGTGCTGTGAGAGCGCCCTGTGCGGGAGCATTAGGATTCCAGTTCACAGAACGGTGCTTGGGCGTCCTGCAGGAGTTAGTAGAGCGGCTGGATGAATGAGGGAGGGAGGTGGGGCAAGCTGCTTCTCCCATTATTTCTCCACACTAGAATTGTTAGCTATTGAGTAGTAGCTAACACTCTCTGATGCCTTCGATAGGAAAACTGCTTTAGTCTTGGTTACAGTCCCGAGGTTGGGAATGGTCCCCTTTTGCAGATGGGAAAACAAAGTCTTACTTGCCAAGTGGTAGATTTGGAACTCGGATACCCTTCACTGCCTGTCTTGGAGGATAGAGACACTGAGCACGCCTCCCCTCCCGTGCTTGTACTGCAGGGCTCAGACATGGTGTTGCTTCTCGGGACTGCTCAAGCAGATCCTGCTGGCACCATCATCCAGTATTGGGACCGCGTCGCAGTCTGTGTCAGTTAACTGACTTAGCGTGACTCCTGCATGGGCCTCCCCGGGCTTGCACTTTCTGTCCTCTTACCCACACCACACTGTTAGCAATTCAAAAGGCACGGGAATCTTCAGATACCTTAACCCAAACGCCAGTGTCTTTCCCCTTCATTCAAGAGTCAAAAACCAAAGTCCAGGGGTCTGCTTAAGGCATGGTAATGAAGATGCTCTGTGGGTCCCAAGCATCCTGCACTTCCCAGTTCCACTCAGACTCCAGGAGTTGGTTCATAGAATGGAATCCCCTGGGAGACTCAAATGGAGGTTCAGGCCCTGGCTTAGTCCAGCACGAATGGCAATCACTGGAAAATGGATCTCAGCAAATGAGTGTAAATTGGGCCCTGCGCAGCTAAAGTCCTTGCCTTGCATGGGTTGGGATACCATATAGGCTGGGAACCAGCAGCCCTGCTTCCCATCCAGCTCCCTGCTTGTGGCCTGGGAAAGCAGTGGAGGACGGCCCAAAGCCTTGGACCCTGCATCTGCATGGGAGACCCAGAAGAAGCTCCTGGCTTTGGTTTTGCTCAGTTCCTGTCGCTGAGGCCACTTGGGGAGTGAATCAGCAGATGGAGGATCTTTCTGTCTCTCTTCCTCTCTGTATATCTGCCTTTCCAATAAAATTAAATAAAATTTTTAAAGAAGTTGCTCGCATTGGGGCACTTGGACATCACATCAGTATTTGGGCATCATTACTCAACACCTTGAATCCAGTTATTGCCACAAATGTGAAGGACCTGGGTTAAGTTACCAACTTGCAGGTGTTTGCTAAGTGTACCAGTGGGTGAGCTATGCATCCCTCCCCACCGTGTGTGTATGTGTCTACTGAATATATAAATGCTGTTTCGCCCAGTAATCTATACTGCTGGGAATATCAATCCAGTCATTCATTAAATATGTACATATATACTAGTTTAAGGAAGGTAGTTTCGTATAGGAGTAAGTGTTGTAGTGAAATGCAATGAAATTCATAAATTACTGGCAGAAATGGGGGTTGAGGTACTACTTGAGTTTGAGGTATCAGGAACGATTTTCAAAAGAGGAATTATTGGAAGGGAGCCAAATCTGAGAAATAAGAATTCTTGTCAGGGGCAATTGCAAGTGTGAAGATCCTAAAGCCAGGACTAGTTTAGGTTGACTGGAGAGGCCAGGGCTGTGGTGCCAGCATCCATTGTGGATGCTAGTTTGAATCCTGGCTGCTCCCATTTCCAGTCCAGCTGCCTGCTAATGTGGGAGAGCAGTGGAAGATGGCCAAGTACTTGGGCCCCTTCACACATGTGGGAAATCGGGTTTAAAAAGCTTCTGGCTATGAACCAGCAGATGGAAGATCTCTCTGTCTCTCTTTTCTGTAACTCTATCTTCCAAGTAGATATAGATAAATCTTTTCTTTTAAAAAAAAAGTTGACTATGGAGCAAGAGCAGGTTGAGGAAGGGAAATACTGGCAAGTTGAGGAAGTGTCAAAGCAGAGGCTTGTGAGCAGAGCTGCTCTGTAGAGTAAAGCCCAGTTACTGTTTGCCTCGCCTCTTTCCTCTGTGCCTTGGACTCTACTTCTGCCACATGCAATAGCTGTCATACGTTTCTCGTTTAGGGCCCTCCAAGGTGTTCCTCCCTTCAGGCTCCAATCATGCTGCTCTCAGGACACGAAGGCGAAGTATACTGCTGCAAGTTCCACCCCAGTGGATCTACCCTGGCGTCTGCAGGATTCGACCGACTGATATGTAAGCCACAGTGTCTGAATCGGGAGTAAATGCTACCTGCCAAGTAGTGATATTTTTGTTTGGTTATTTGTATTACATTAGATGTCACCGAAAATCAGTACAGGGGCCAGCGCTATGAAGCAGTGGCTTAAGTCATCAATTCCAATCCTGGCATCCCAATTGAGTGCTGGTTCAATCCCAGCTATCCCACTTCAGTCCAGTTCCCTGTTAATATACCTCGGAAAGCAGTGAAAGATTTGGCCCCTGCCAAATCTTTGGGCCCCTGCCATTACTTGGCAGTAGAGTTCCTAGCTCCTGGCTGTGGCCTGGCCCAAAGCTGGTAGTAAAGCCATTTGGACAGTAAATCAGAGATAGAAAATCTTTGCCTCTTCCTCTCTGCCTTTCAAATAAATATTTCTTAAATGAAAAAAGAATCTCAGTCTGTGTTCAGCATAACAGACTGATGGCTAACATCCCAAAATTGGATGATGAAAAGGCTGAAGGATGTTTGTTGCGTGTGCAACTCGGTGTGTGTGGTACAGAAAGAAGGAGTGAGGTTATCAAATACAGATCAGCAGCTACTAGTTTGGAAAAGTGAATTATTCTAATTAGAAAAATAATCTCGCTTGTGAAAGTCTTCATTGTTGCTTAAAACTTCTTTAAAATTGGTTTATTATTGGGTGATACAGTTCCATAGATTCTAGTATTTCCCTTCCTCACTCCTCCCCTCCCGATTTCCCCTGGTCATTACAGTAGTATGTAAGTCTTGAGTGGACTCAGTAAGATAAGCTCTCTGGGTTGAACAGGCTAATGACATGAGCCCCTCCATCTTGATTCATTCCCAGAATCACACCACATGGAGAAAGACACGAGGTGGTCGTAAAGTGGTTACTCCCTTCAGTAATGCACATCAGCAGGATATGCTGCCCGATTGGCAGCGACTGCTCAGGAGGAGTCAGGGGAGAAATGGCTAGAGAGTTACTTTGGAGCAGGCACAGGAAAAAGGTAGCACGGGCATTTCACTTTTTGATTCTTCGGGCCTCATTTACTCAGTTAAGGGATATAATTCTATCTTTTCTGTGAACTGCATGTCTTAAGGTAGATAATACCTATATTCACTGCTTGATTTGGATATTCTAGTTCTGTGTTTCTTAAACTTAATAGGTGCCAAGCCTCTGGAAGATGTAGGGATCTTTATAGAACATACAGGGGTTATTGATATGCTTAATTTCATCAGAAAAAATAGAAATAGTTTCATCAGCAGAAAAGTCAATGTTGCACTTGTACCTCTTGTGTACGTAGATAATTGTTAATAACACTTTTGAAACTTCCCTCCTTGCTGGGCCACGTTCCTGAGGATGCATGTGGACAAGTAAATGTATCCTACAGGGATTGCCATGGGACCTGCAAGTTAGTTTGCTGAGTTTTCCATGAGTTGCGTATTTTACAATCTACTTACCATGTCAGTGCTCACAGGCGCGCTCTCTCCCTGGCAGTGCTATGGAATGTCTATGGCGACTGTGATAACTACGCCACGCTGAAGGGGCACAGCGGAGCCGTGATGGAGCTGCATTACAACACAGACGGCAGGTTAGTACCCTCTGAAACAGACCACTGCTCACACTAACTGTCAGCATCTTTGCATCTTTCATCTGTGAGTTTTTTTCTGTTACTGGGTTTTTGTGGTGGTGGTGGTGGTGGGTTTTTCGTTGTTATTCTCGAGAAACGTTTTGACCAAAACTACTACATGAGCTGTTTGTCATCTGATATATCAACAGTCCAGATAAACTTTTTTCCTTTTTTAAGGTACAGGACAAACTGATTGTTGTATGTAGAAATAAGATTTTGGGGGCCAGTGTCATGGCATAGTAAACTAAGCTTCCATCTGTAGCACGGGACTCCCATATGGCTTTGTTGTTGATGTTGTGTCCCTGATGCTCCAGTTCTGACTCAGTTCTCTGCTTGTGACTCCAGAGGGCACAGGAGGTTTGTCTGGTTCCTGGGCCCCTGAACCCATGGGAGAGACCTGGATGAGCCTCCTGGCTGTGAGGCTGTTTGGGGTGTAAGCCAGTGGATAAATGGTCTCTCTCTCTGTCTCTTCTGTTAACTCTGCCTTTCAAATAAAAATAAAGCACGTATAACCTTCCTCCCACCCCCCCAAAAAAAAGTCCACTGCAATGGCTTAATGGCCAGATCCTCATCTTGCAAGTACTATGATTCAATACAGGTGCCACTTCATGTCCCAGCTGTTCCACTTCTCATACAACTCATTGCTTGTGGTTTGGGAAAGCAGTAGAGTACGGCCCAAAGCGTTGGGACCCTGCACCGGTGTAGGAGATCCAGAAAAAGCTCCTGGCTCTTGGCTTTGAATTAACTCAACTCTGGCTGTTATGGCCATTTGGGGAGTGAGCCAGCAGATGGAAGATTTTTCTCTCTATAAATCTGATCTGCCTTTCCAAAAAAATAAGTAAATCTTTAGAGGAAAAAATTTTTTTAAGAAATCTCTTTGGAATGCAAAAGTGATAAAGTAATAAACTGTTTATTTGAGAAACCCAAAACAGAAAGATGAAAAATAGTCCATATTTATAACACTCCAAAGATAATAATGTTAACTTTTTTTCATATACTACTTATTTTATTTCCAAGGTGGAAAGAGATCTTCCATCCACTGGTTCACTCTCTAAATGTCTGCAACAGCTGGGGCTACACCAAGCTAAAGCCAGGAGCCTAGAACTCAGTACTGTCCCCATGGAAGTGGCCAAAGCCAACTGCCTGGGACATCAGCTGCGGTCTCCCAGAGTGTGCGTTAGCAGGAAAGGAATTGAAGCTGAGACAAGAACTTGGGCATTCTGGTGTGGGATGTAGGCATCTTAACTTCCGCCCCTAATACTACACATCTTTAAAGACATTTCCCTCTGAAACTGTTAAAATCTTGGCATCTTTATTAGAGCTATGTGCAGTCTTGAGTAGTTTTTTTCCCTTTAACATTGTTCACCTAATATTCCATAAAATAAGCCTACAATGCTACCTGCTATTCCACTTCTGATTCGGCTCCCTGCAACTGGCCTAGGAAGAGCAGCAGGAGACCCTTGCCATCTACCAGGGAGACCTAGATGAAGCTCCTGGCTTCAGGACTGGCATCGACTAGTAGCTTAAAGATCTCTGTTTCTGTAACTAAGAACCTGTATCTGAATTTGAGTCTCAGCCCTATTCCCTATTCCAGCCTTCTGCTAATCTACACCCTGGAAAGCAGCATTTGATGTTTCAAACATCTAGGTATGTGTGCCACCAATGTGGAAGAACCCTGAGTGCAGTTCTAGCTTCAGCCTGTCCTGTCCTTGGCTTTTGCAGGCATTTGGGTATTGAATCAGTGGGTAAATAAGAGACTTTTGGTTTTTTTGTTTATTTGTTTGTGTGTGTGTTTTAATAATCAGTTGTTATGTGGAAATCATCTTCATTGACAAAATTAAACTTTGGATTTAAAGAGTTTCTCAGCTACCTGCCTTCTGCAGCAGCAGGGAGTGACAGTATTTGCTAGTAAGATTCATTTGATTTATTGAAAGGCGGAGTTATAGAGAAAGGGAGAAACAGAGAGGTTTCCCACGTGCTGGTTAAATGGCCACAGCAGCCAAGGCTGAGCCAGTCCCAAGGCAGGATCTAGGAGCTTCAGCCCTGTCTCCCATTACGCCTCAGCACTGGCCCCTCAGGGAGATCTTGCGTTTTCTGAGGTAGACCTTGTAACTGAGCCACAGCCTCAGCAGGATTTATTAGCTAGCATTCCTGCATCCTAGGGCACACTGGTACAGAGCTCAACAGCTCTGTGATCTCAGAGTTTGGCATGTTCTGCCTAGTGGAAAAGATTCGTCTTGTTTATTTTCACTTACTCTTTGTTTGTTGTTCTTACCTTCTAGTATGCTCTTCTCAGCATCCACAGATAAAACTGTTGCAGTGTGGGATAGTGAGACAGGCGAGAGAGTTAAAAGGCTGAAGGGACATACTTCCTTTGTGAATTCTTGTTATCCAGCCAGGAGAGGCCCCCAGCTTGTCTGTACTGGGAGTGACGACGGAACAGTTAAGGTAGGTATTATCTCTGTGTTTCCCTTTCAGACTGGACTAACGTGACCTTTATCTTGGATGTTACCTGTGCTGTACCCTCCTCTCTACAACTTGATTTTAGCATTTGTTCCCCAAAACAGACCTTTGATTTTTTTCTTATTTAAGATGATAGAATATTTTAATCACTCTACAGAATAATAGAGCCACAGAGTAAATTAGTAAAAGAAAAACTGTCTAAGTTCACAGCATACTTGAATTACTTGGATACGGTTTTTAGCTGCTGGTCAAGTTGAAATACTTCTGTTATAGACTCTAAGGAAACAAAGTCATGGTTTTTTTACTTTGTCTAAAGTTCTTGAAAAGCAAATTTCATACAGTAATTACATTTTTAGTTTAAACATGGTGGTCTAGGCAGAATCTTTATCAGTATTTTAGCTAATTTTTTTTTAAATTCTGAGATATTTATTTGAGAATCAGAGTTACAGAGAGGAAAAGGCAGAAAAGAGGATTTTCCTTGTGCTGCCAGGAGCTTCTGTGTCTCCCACGTGGATGCAGGGACCCAAGTACTTGAACCATCTTCTGCTGCTTTCCCAGATGCATAAGCAGGGAGCTAGATTGGAAGAGCAGAGAAGCTGGGATTCAATCCAGCAACCATGTGGGATGCCAGCACTGCAGGCAGCAGCTTTACTTAACATGCCACAGCATCAGCTCTGTCAGTGGTTTTCATTCTGGTTTCAGTAAGTTCGTTCTTTCAATATTTATAAATGAATTGCAATGTAATGTATATTATACCCTTTCATAAATAACTTAGTCCTAAGGTCACTACTAGAAGAACACGCGGAAGATGTTCAGGTTGGAGGTGGAGAGAACATCCACATGGGGCAGAGCGGTTCACTGGCGAGAGGCAGGAGGGCATCATGCAGGGTGGCTAGCCCCGCTCTGAGGGTTTTGAGGCTGGGGCAGGTGTTTTGGTAGGGTAGGTAAAGCCATTGTCTAGATGCCAACATCCCATATGGGTGCTGATTCAAGTCTCATCTTCTCCACTCCTAATCCAGCTCCCTGCTAGTGCCCCTGAGAAAGCTGTTTATAGTCTAAGTGTTTGGCTCATGCCACCTATGTGTAAGATCTTGCTTAAGGTTTAGGCTTCTGGCCTTGGCCTGGTTGAGCCCTGGCTATTGTGACCATTTCAAGACTGGACCCTCAAATGAGAGATTTCTCTCTCTTTTTTTTTAAGGAGGGGTCAGGAATTGAGGGTGAAGGAGAGACAACAGACAGTCCAGGCAAGTCAGTGTCTTGGTGGGGTAAAAAAGTCATGTAATAATGGCTTCTGGGGAGAGGAGGCCATATGGGGAGGGGCAGTTCACACTGTAGAGAGCCTGAGGCTAAATAAGATGAAGCTGGCATCCCTGGGCAAAGTTGGGCTGGGTAAGGGAAGCAGGACAAGAGGTGAGGATGTCCACACAAGGAATGACCTGTGTGGAGTGAGGAGGGGATCCATGTAAGGTCAGTCTAGGATGAGCTTCCAGTTCAAGCAGGGAAAGGAGGGCGACCACTGTAGGGGGAGAATCTGAGAGACTGGGTACATACAGGAAGCTTGTTCAGATAAGTAAACATGTAAGCCTAATGGCACATAAACTAGTCACTGTCAGAGAGAGAAGTTTGTATTACAAAAAGAAAACGCCAAAGATTCCCAGAGTTGGATTTGAATTGGAGTTCATAGTGTGAATTTTTGACATTCAATGTATATCCAATAGTTATAGAAAAAATAGATGTAGGAGTTTAAAAGGGTGTGCCTGTACCTAAGTGCCTAAGTACAGTATTGCCCAGCTGTCTGAGAAGCAATGAGTGCAGACATTGCATAAATCTTGACTTTTTAATATTTTCCGGGTCCAGCACAGTGGCCTAGCGGTTAATGTCCTCGCCTTGAACACGCCAGGATCCCATATGGGGGCCAGTTCTAATCCCAGTGGCTCCACTTCCCATCCGGTTCCCTGCTTGTGGCCTGGGAAAGCAGTCAAGGATGGCCCAAAGCCTTGGGCCCCTAACACCCGCATGTGAGACCAGGAAGAGGAAGTTCCTGGCTCTTGGCTTCAGATCAGTGCAGCACCGGCCGTCGCCGCGGCTTGGATAGTGAATCATCAGACGGAGGATCTTCCTCTTTGTATTTTAGTTTGCAATAAAAATAAATGAATCTTTATATATATATATATAATTTTCCAATAAATAGAATCAGGGCTTCTATTTTAGAACTGGGGCTGGAAAAGTACAAGATGAATCTGGAACATGTTGTACAAGAAAGCTTGTCAAGAAGACATTCTAAGCAAATGATTGAATTTAGCATTATTGGTAATGGTGCAAATGAAAAACTGAGGCCTTGGAAAGCAATGTTAATCCCTGTAGTAGTCCTACCAAAGATGGGTAGCTTGAATCTCATCTTGAGGGGGCATATCAGACAAACCCAATTTGAGAGACTTGTAGGTCATAAGAGCATGAAACTGGTCTGGCTTGGTACAGCAAATTAAGCTGGCACCAGTAATGCCAGCATACAGTTTGAAGACTGATTGAGTCCTGGCTGCTCCACTTCCAATCCAGCTCCTTAAGTTTAACACAGGATTCCAAAATTCATCCTAGTTGGTAAAGACATTGGGTGAGGGTGGCGACAAGCATTTGACTCAACAGTTAAGACACTGCTCGTCATGCGCACGTTCGTGACCTGGAGTCTTGGCTCCACTCCCGATTCCTGCTTTTCCTGAGAGGCTGCAGGTGATGGCTGCCCAAGTGGTTGAGTCCCTGCCATCAGGATGGAAACTGTAAAGAAAAAGAGAGAACTGTTATGACCAACTGTCCTGTTGTTCTGCTTCAGCTTTGGGATATCCGGAAGAAGGCAGCCGTCCAGACATTTCAGAACACGTACCAGGTGCTGGCAGTGACCTTCAATGACACAAGTGACCAGATTATTTCGGGTGGAATAGACAATGACATCAAGGTATGTTGGATGATCGTGTTACATTTTACTTTTCACTTACCAAATTGAATCTTCAGACTTTGGAGATTGTGGCAGCTTTGTGCTAATTCCAACTAAAAAGATGATAATAACTTGGAACATTTTTATCTTCCATCCTCACTCACTTTCTCAATCAGAGATTTCATTGCAGCTTGTACAAATGCCATCAGACCAGGCAGTGAATCTGAAACATAAAATTCTTTGGTGGAGACTATTGGGACATACAGAATGCTTCTCCACCCTCTTCTCTCAGTGTGATTTGTTTGTTTTTGATACTGTTGATGTCAAGACAAAGTTTTCTGAGCTTCTCTTAATGCGAGAACATATTGGATAAATACCAGACAGTGGGCTGTGTGGCAGTTTGGGTGATAATAATAATAACATCTGCCTCAAAGAATTGCTAGGATTACGTGAGCCTAGCCTTAGCGCACAAGGAGCGTGCCTGTAGGTAGCCAGTACCAGTACATGTGAAGCTGTCTTCTGGGACTAGATAGCTTGGGCCTTTCCTTACTGTGTTCCTTAAAGATCTCAAAGACTTTGCTTTGCTTCACTGGGAGAATAGTAGCTGTTAGATTATGCCGAAGTTGCTGTGTTGTTTCTACATAGCACTTGTTCTGCATTCCCTTCCCTGCTTCCTGCTTTGCTGTTACTGTGGATGATAACGTACTTGGTTTTGTGTAAAGATTTTTTCCCACCTTTTATTTTAATATTGTTTATATAGTTGAAGGGGTTGCAGACTCATATGGCCCTCCAGTTAGGATGGGGAGGGTCAGGATTGGAGGATTGTGGGTAAGATAAATGTTGCTGGAAAAAAAAATATTTTTTTTTTCGTAAGATTTATTAGAAAGGCAGATTACAGAAAATAGGAGATACAAAAAAGGTGTTTCATCCGCTGTTTCACTCCCCGAATGACTGCACTGGCCAGAGCTAAGCCAGTTTGAGTTAGTCCAAAGCCAATAAATAGCCAGGAATGTCTTCCAAGGCTCCCACATGAGTGTGCAAGGTCTCAAGGACTTGGGTCATCCCCTACTGCTTTCCCAGGCCCGTGAGCAGGGAGCTGGATTATATGAGATGCCAATACTAGAAAGTGGAGGATCGGCCTCTTGAGCCACCGTCCTGGCCCCAAATGTTTCAGTCTTTTCTACTGTGTTCAAGAAGAGGGGTACAAGGAAGTTACCAGTCATTTGATGAAGAATAAGATGAGGCTGGCACCCCTGGGCAAAGTTGGGCTGAGTAAGGGAAGCAGGACAAGAGGTGAGGATGTCCTTGTGGAGTGAGGTCAGTCTAGGATAAGCTTCCAGTTCAGCAGGGAAAGGAGACCCAGGGTGGGGAACAATGTTTTGAGGGTGTTACTTGAGTAGTCTCAATTGTTCTGAGAAGTTTTCTGCTTTGTTACACCAGAGAAAAAGTTCTTTCTAAGGTCTGTTGGCTGATTATTTCTACCTCAGTGTGTCCACAGACCTAGGCACGTGCTGCAAAGCGTGGCCCAGAATGCTTGTTCAACCTGTCTTGCTTTGTCTTGAGGAATTTGAAGTCCTCTGTTGACTTGGAAGAGCTGGCTGTCTTGAATTTCGTGTGCATCTGGGTATACTCTGTTCTTATGCGAACATAAGCAACCGAGGTGGCCTAGTCCTGCAGCATGTGCTCCAGTTTGGACCACGTGTCCTTGTGATTTTCCCTGAGGTCAAGGCTCAATGCAGTGGTCCAGGTGGGAGCCCCCTGAGAGGTCTGGGAGGTCTTTACCCCTGCCTCTTCATGTGTACCAATTGGTTCATGGTCAAGAAGAGCCTAAATAATTCCTGTCGTGCCTGCCCCCAGGCCCAGTTCTCACACTGGCCTTCAGGTGCTGTGGCCTTAACCAGCCCCACCCACAGCTCCAGACACTATTTGCTTTGGGTGGTCTATGACTTCTCTGTTAGGAAATATATTAAATCTTTCTCTCTTTTTAGTCATACCCACTGTTTACCATGGGCGTGGTCTCCTGTCATCCCTGCCTCCTATGACACCATCAGCTACTATTTAATGTATTATTCTTTTAAAAAGTAATGATTCTTGGGCCCAGTGATATAGCCTAGTAGCTAAGTCCTTGCCTTGCAAGGGCTAGGATTCCATATGGATGCCGGTTCTAGTCCCAGCTGCCCCACCTCCCATCAGCTCCTTGCTTGTGGCCTGGGAGAGCAGTAGAGGAAGGACCAAGGCCTAGGGACCCTGCACTCAGAGTTGAAGAAGCTCCTGGCTTCAGATCAGCCCCATAAACCTGATCTGCCTTTCCAGTGTTTTTGAAAGTTACTCATTATTTGGAATATGAAATTAGAGAAAGATAGCTTCCATCCACTGATTCACTCTCCAGATGGCTGCATTGTCTGGATCTGGCTGCACCACATCCAGAAGCCTGGATCTGCCACCTAGGTACTGGGACCCAAATGCCTTTGGAAGGATCAGTTAATATAGTATTTGAAATCAGGCTACTAAAGGTATTTTCTTCACTTTTGATATTGTGTAAGAAATTTGCTAGAGAGATATGAGGCCAGGATCCTGCATGGGCACCAGTTCATGTCCAGGCTGCTCCATTTCCCGTCCAGCTCCTGCCTGTGACCTGGGAAAGCAGTAGAGGACAGCCCAAAGCCTTGGGACCCTGCACCTGTGTCAGAGACCCAGAAGAAGCTCCTGGCTCCTGGCTTTGGATCGGCTCAGCTCCAGCCATTGTGGCCACTTGAGGAATGAACCAGCAAGTGGAAGATCTTTCTCTGTCTCTTCTTCTCTATGAACATCCTGCATGGATAGCAACCCAGTTATTGGAGTCATCACCACTGCCTCCCTGGTCCAGGTTAGCAGCAGACTAGAATCAGGAGCTGAAATCAGGGACTGAACCCACGCACCACAGTGTTAACCACAAGCATCCTAGTTAGCACTTGAACCACCAGACCCCACCTCTGCTCCCAGAAAGGACTCTAAGGCCCTCATGAATTACTTCAAATATGAAAATAGAGGCTCCTTTTCTTTTTTCTTTTTTTTTTAAGATTTATTTATTTATTTATTGGAGAGTCAGATATACAGAGAGGAGGAGAGACAGAGAGAAAGATCTTCCGTCCGATGATTCACTACCCAAGTGAGCGCAATGGCCGGTGCTATGCCGATCCAAAGCCAGGAGCCAGGAACTTCTTCCAGGTTTCCCACATAGGTACAGGGTTCCAAAGCTTTGGGCCGTCCTCGACTGCTTTCCCAGGCCACAAGCTGGGAGCTGGATGGGAAGTAGAGCTGCCGGGATTAGAACCGGCGCCGATATGGGATCCCAGCGTCCGAGGCTCCTTTTCAATCAGAAAGAGTCTGTAACACTTAGTCTACCAAACTTATTTTATAGATGATTAAAGTAAAACCTACTAGATTGACTGATCACCCAATCAGAGGTAGAACGAGGACCAGAGGTGCATCTCCAGAGAGCTCGTCATCATTCGACTCTGTCTTGTTGTCCGTGTCGATTCATGTGTACGCTTGAAAGCTTCACTGTACTGCCCCTGCTGCTCTAGCAGGTGCTTCTCTCAGAGCACCTAGGTGATATTTGTTTCTCAACATTGGCTGTTGGTTCTAAGAGGGTACGATCAAGTAGAAAATGGAAACTTCTTGTAGAGTCGACAGCAGATAATGTCTCTGTATTTGTGAGCCGATACACTGTTCCTGATACTTTCTTGAAATTGGCAGTAGTAACAGGGAGTCTGTAAAATGAGAAAGGTTGTATGTTTGAGGGTTTGGCTGGCAGTCCTTTCATGCTTCTTAACACCCCGAGCTCTGGTCAGGATGGTGGTGTATTTGATCGTTTTTATACCTTTGCATAGTGGTTAAAGGCTAGCCAGTGTGATGGCTCAGGTGACTCATCCTCCACCCGCTAGCACCCATATAGGTGCCAGATTGTGTCCCAGTTACTCCACTTCTGATCCAGTGCCATGTTTATGACCTGGGAAAGCAGCAGAGTAAACCAGCGGATGGAAGCTCATTCTCTCTGTCTCTCCTCTATAAATTTGCCTTTCCAATTAAAAAAAAAATTTTTTAGGACTTACTTATTTTTATTGGAAAGGCATATCAGATTTACGGGGAGAAGGAGGGACAGAAATATCTTCCATTTGCTGTCCATCTACTGGTTCATTCCCCAAATGACCACACTGGCCAGAGCTGAGCTGATCTGAAGCCAGGAGCTTCCTCCAGATCTCCCACACAGGTGCAGAGTCCCAAGGCTTTGGGCCATCCTACACTCACTGCTTTCCCAGGACATGAACTGAGACCCAGTAGATTTAAAAAAAAAAAAAAAAAAAAGAGGCTAGCATAAATCTTCGATTTCCTGCTCTCTGGTCTCATCATTTGAGTTACCTGGTTCAGAAGATCTGTCCAGAATGCGAATCTGGTCAATTCATTCTCCTTTCTCTGAACCCTGTCTTTTTTCCTCAAGGTTTACTTAATTTTTTTATTGCAAAGTCAAGATATACAGAGAAGAGGAGAGATAGAGAGGAAGATCTTCCATCCAAAGATTCACTCCCCAAGTGGCCGCAATGGCTGGAGCTGAGCCAATCCAAAGCTCCGAGGAGCCTCTTCCGGATCTCCCAAACAGGTGCAGGGTCCCAGGGCTTTGGGCTGTCCTTGACTGCTTTCCCAGGCCACAAGCAGGGAGTTGGATGGGAAGTGGGGCTACCAGGACATGAACCAGTGCCCATATGGCCACATGCAATGTGAGGGCTTTAGCCACTAGGCTAGCGTGCCAGGCCCCAGGTCCAGTTTTCACAGCCTCTTTAGGCACACCACGGCCTCTCAAGCATCACCTGCTGACTGTGTGCCTAGGTTTCTGCAGCTGAGCAGATGTTCATGGCTCTGCTCGCACTGCTCAGGTGCTTTGTTCTCTCACTTTGTTTTCTAATTCTCATCTCCGGGCTCATTCTCTTGTTTACGTGCCTGTTTTTCCCACCAGACTGATCATGTCTGGAGAGTAGAGAACTTGTATATATACATATATGCAGTTGTGTTTGCCACTAATTGTGTGCCCAAGTACTCTTTGAAATAACTGAATAGGATGTTTGCAAAAATGTTTTTCTTAAATTACTACCATATTCACTCTTTTCTGTGGCAAACATTGTGTGTGTGTGTGTGTGTGTGTATGTGTGTTTTTGTTGTTGTTGTTGTTGTTATTGGTTTTGTTTTGTTTTTGCACCTGCACAAACAAGTGTATAGGCCTCGAGGTGGAGGTTCTGGGCCTAGCCGGACAAACGCTGTGAGGGCAGAGTTGTTTCCTCCTGGAAAGAAGCTGGAGATGCAGCAGTGTCTTCCCCAAAGGAAAGGAACAGTGGTCACCCATTTGAAGCTTTGCCGCTTACTGAGGCAGCAAACATCCTGACACAAAAATGATGATATACATACGTAAAGTATGTTGAGTTTGACACATGAAGGAGTTATTGACGGAGGCAGTGGGGTTGTCGGCCTGTTGTATTGCTCTGGGCTACAATACCTAGTTCGTTTCCAGGGGAGGGAAGAGTACCTTTCTTTAAGGAATAGCAAGCATTTCGTGCTCATGGAAACTACATTCAGTCCTAAACAAAATTCTGAAGAATTTTGTATTGTACCATTGACCTTAAAACAATTGCTGTCCTTTTTCTCATGTGCTATCCAGGCTGTTTCTTCCAGCCTTAATATTTATTTTTACATAGTTACAGTCAGTATAAATAGTGTTTTGTATTTTTGTATTTTCCTTTTTGCTTAATATCTTATTGTGTGTTTTTACATTCAGCCCTCAAAGGGATTTTTTTTTTTTAGTGCTTAATAATCACTGCCAGTTTTTGCAGCATGCCAGTACTATGCTGAGTGCATTCTTATTTGTAATCTTTATTGCAGGTGAAAGAAGTAGATACTGTAACATCTGTTTTCCAAAATGGGCTTAGAAAGCTTTTGCAGTAAACTGGCTCATTCTGACCCTCAGTCTGCTGTTCCCGCCATGCCACGCTGTCGGGCATGAGATAACTCATAGTACTGTGTTTGTGAGACATGACTTAATAGTCCCGCTTTTTATATTTAATGTTTAGGTCATTTCTAGCAGAAGAGCTGGTCTTACCTTTCTTAGATAGGCAAATACTTGCTAGGGCTGAACCAGGTGGAAGCCAGGAACCTGGAACTTCATCAGGGTCTCCCATGCGTATGGTAGGGACCCACAAGCATCTGAACAGTGACTCTGTACTTTGGTTTCTCTGCTTTATTAATAAGTTCTTATTTTTGCAGAATCTCCATAAATTTTTTGTCAGTGTTATACTTAACATTCAAGCAAGCAAAGTAATTGACTTTTTTGTTGTTGTTGTTAGGAAAATAACAGTCTTTGTGAAATCCTGTATTCTGCAGTAAAGTAATTTATGGCCCTGAGCCAGATGACATAGGATACTGGTCGATTAGAGCCATTGACTTTTCTTTTTTTTTTTTATGTTTTTGGTTTTAATTTCATTTCTTTAAAAGCTTTGTGGGGTCTGGTGCAGTGGCCTAGCGGTTAAGGTCCTCATCTTAAACGCACCAGGATCCCATATGGGCACCAGTTCTAATCCTGGCGGCCCCACTTCCCACCCAGCTCCCCGCCCGTAGATTGGGAAAGCAGTCGAGGATGACCCAAAGCCTTGGGACCCCGTGTCTGTGTGGGAGACCCTAAGGAAGCTCCTGGCTCCTAGCTTTGGATTGGCTCAGCTCCAGCTGTTGCAGTCACTTGGGGAGTGAACTATATGATGGAAGGTCTTCCTCTCTGAATACCCAATTTATTTTATTTTTTCCAATAAAAAATAACTAAATCTTTAAAAAAGAAAAAGCTTTTTCACATATTAAATTCTTCACTCACAGGTTATACAGAAGCATCTTTTTCTTCAAGAATGGTTTGGTTTTTTGTTTTGTTTTTTGTTTTGTGTTTTTGTTTGTTTTTTAAGATTTATTTATTTTTATTGGAAAGTCAAATTTACAGAGAGAAGCAGAGACAAAGATCTTCCATCTGCTAGTTTATTTCCCAAGTGGTCAAACAGCCAGAGCTGAGCTGATCTGAAGCCACGAGCTTCCTCTGGGTCTCTCAACGTGGGTGCAGGGTCCCAAGGCTTTGGACCGTCCTCAACTGCTTTCCCCGGCCACAGGCAGGGAGCTGGATGGGAAGTGCAGCAGTCGAGGATTCGGCAGCCATGTAGAATCCCAGTAAGTACAAGACAAGGGCTTTAAACACTAGGCTACCACGTAAGGCCCCCATTGACTCGAGTAATACTGTTTCTCTATTATGTCTCTGATTTCCGGGTGGGGTTTTTTTGTTTGTTTTTGGGGGTTGTTGTTGTTGTTGATGTTTTGTTTTGTTTTGCAGGTCTGGGACCTCCGCCAAAACAAGTTAACCTATACCATGAGAGGCCATGCGGATTCTGTGACTGGACTGAGTTTAAGTTCTGAAGGCTCTTACCTCTTGTCTAATGCAATGGACAATACTGGTAAGTTTGCAAAGGGAAGCTGTCCCAATACCCAGTCACTATCAACTCTAGTGTTGAGTGCTAGAAGTGTGTAGCTGGGATAAAGGAAGAGTTCAAAGTCCGGGTGGCTCATGCATCCTACCAGGCAACTAGGAGACATGCCAGATCAGCCCTCTAGTCCCTGAGGAATAACTTGCACACAGTATTTCTTCTGAGAATAAGTTTCACAATGATAAACTCATAGGACTGGACTGGACTGGACTTTTATGGCCCATTTCAGCTCTGATACCTGGGGAATCCATGCATGTCAGTTAATAAGGACAATGAGAATCTACTAGACCATGCAGGGCCCTTCACAAGCAACTTCATAGAGCCTCAAGTCTGTGAGATCAATAGACCTGCTATGCTCTTCTCTGCCAGTATGTCTTCCCTACCCTAAAAATACTAACGTGAGGAAAGGTCCTCTTTAAAACAGATCAGCGCTCTGTATTTATACTAACATTCTCTTTGTTTGTTGTTGTTTTTCTTCTTGTTTATTTGAAAAAACAAAGCAATACAAAGACAGGAGAAATGGGATCCACTGCTTGATTTCTGAAATGACCTCAATAGCCAGACCAGAGCCGCGAGCCAAGAGCTCCACCCCAGTCTCCCACATGGGTGGTAGGATCCAAGCACTACCTCTTAATTCTATTTTCTATGAATTTGTGATGTGCTCTTGTATGTTTAATATTGGGAGAGTTTTCCTCTGATACAGAACTTCACAGGCTCCTCAGGAACTAAAATGCATTCACTGGCATTTGTTTTCAAAACTAGTGCCTGGAAATGGATGCTTGACACAGGGACACCACTTGGGAGGCCCGAATTCCTTATCATGATGCCCGAGTTCAAGTCCTGGCTGCCAAATCCAGCCTCCTGCTAAGTGCGTTCTCTGCGGGACAGCAGGTAGTGATTCAATTGGTTTGGTTCCTGCCACCCTCAGGGAGACCGAGATTGCGTTTCTAGCACTTTTTTTTTTTTTTTTGAATTTTGAATTTTGAATTTTGAATTATGTGGTACATTTTTATATAGGCTGGGTGGGATTCCCCCCCAAACTCCCACCCCTATCAGATTTTTCCCATTTTGTCACAATAGTGTAGTCCTTCTTAAGGAATCAATTCAATCAGTCTCTTATTGAAGTGTACCCCGACATTGTTGGTACAGACAATGTCGGACAGTCCAGCATCCCATTGTCTACACATGCCCAACAGTTTCATTGGGAATCCATCTTTCGTCTGGATGCAGGGATGCATGTTCCATTGTACCCCCGCGTCTGTATATGATAGGCCCCAGTACTCCATCACTATACATTACCATAAGTGAGAAGCCATGAAACAAGGTCAACAACCAGTGTGGGTTAAAACAGCCACATCAACAACAAATTACAGCACTTTGAAAAAATAACGCGCTACTGAGTAACCAACATGTGAGTGACAAAAAGGAAACACAGAAATCTCTTGAGAAAAATGCCATCGTATAATTCATGAGCTCATGATGAATTCGAATAGAGAAAAGAAATTATTTGGAAGAAACCAAACTGAAATAATAACATCAAAACACATGGGATACAGCCAAAAAGCAAACAATCAAAAACCAGTATGGATTGGACTATTGGAGTTACACTTTCTATGTTGGCTTCCTTATGTTGCCTTCTTTGTGATTGACTCATTTCACTGAGCATAATGGTCTCTAGTTGGGACCACCTGGTTGTAAATAGAACAATTTCATTCTTCTTAATAGCTGAATAATAGTCCATGGAGTAGATGTACCACAGTTTGTTTAACCACTCTTCCTTGGACGCACATCTGGATTGTTTTCATGTCTTTGCTATTGTAGATTGTCTAGCACTTTTTCTTGACTAGATCACATCTGTTGCTAACATTTTGTAAGTAAACCCAGAGATTGACTGTCAGTCTCTGCTTGTCTGTCACTGACCTTCTGTCCATTTCAAATGAGACTTGGCCTTTTTATGCCTGTCTGACTGACTCCAAAGTTTTGTGTTACTTTCTTTAAACTCAAATAAAAGGACAGCACTCAAGTACCATTCAATGTCTTTAGTTAAAATGACAGTATCTACTCATTCCCTGTGATTATAAAATTTTAGTTTAGTGCCTCTGATTTTTTTTTTAAATGTCAATTTTGCTTATCTACGTGACTTTTTTTTTTTTAAAGATTTATTTTTATTATTTTTTTATTGGAAAGGCGGATATACAGAAAGGAGAGGCAGAGAGGAAGATCTTCCGTCCGATGATTCACTCCCCAAGTGAGCGCAACGGGCCGGTACTATGCCGATCCGAAGTCAGGAGCCTCTTCTGGGTCTCCCACGCGGGTGCAGGGTCCCAAAGCTTTGGGCTGTCCTCAACTGCTTTCCCAGGCCACAGGCAGGGAGCTGGAAGGGAAGCGGGGCTGCCGGGATTAGAACCGGCGCCCATATGGAATCCCGGGCATGCAACGCGAGGACCTTTAACCACTTGCGCCACCGTGCCAGGCCCATAGTGCCTCTGATTTTTAGATCTTTCTCACATATATCATCTTACCTGAACCTTAAAATGGGCTTCTAAGACAGAAAGAAATGGGCTCCATATTGTAGCACAGCAGGCTTAAGCTGCCGCCATGGTGCCAATATTCCATATGGGCACTGGTTCAAGTCCTGGCTGCTCCATTCTGATCCATCTCTTGGTGAATTTGATTGGGTAAGAAGAAGAGGGTGACCCAAGTTCTTGGGTCCTTGCACCCACGTTGGAGACCTGGAAGAAACTCCTGGCTCCTGGTTTCAGACCTGCCCAGCTTTGGCCATTGTAGCTACTTAGAGAGTAAACCAGTGGAAGATCTTTGTTTCTTTCCTTCTCACTCTACAATTGTACCTTTCAAATAAAAATAAATAAATCTTTAGAAATAAAAATAAGAAGGAAGGCTATGTGCCCAGTCCTGCGGCATAATGCATTAAGCCTGTGCCTGTGATGCCAGGATCCTTTATCAGAGTGTGAGTTCATATCCTTGCTTCTTGCATCCAGTTCAGCCTCCTGCTCATGTGCATAGGGAAGCAAGGGCAGGTGGCCCCAGTACTTGGGTCTCTGCTATGTGACATGGGAGACCCAGATGAAGTCCTAGGTTCCTGTCTTTAACCTGCCACGTTGCTGGTCGTTGGGACCATTTGGGCAGTGAACCAGCTGATATTAGATCCCTTTCTGTTTCTCTGTCATCCTTACTCTGCCTTTCAAATAAATGAACTTTAAAACAATGTTTTCCTCCTTTCTATCCTCTTAACTGTGTGTCCTTATCCCCAGCCAATGGGACTTCGATGCATTTTATTCCCCTAGACAAAGAAAAAGCCTGAACGGCTAGCATATGTCATGTTGGAATTTCTCCAGTCAGAAAGCAGCATCTGGCACTGGCCTGAGGCTGTATCCTGCTGCGCTTTCAGGAGCCCTCTGGCTGATAGTTTTGTGGTTTGGATTTGTTCTGTAGTGCGAGTATGGGATGTCCGGCCTTTTGCTCCCAAGGAGAGATGTGTGAAAATATTTCAAGGAAATGTGCACAACTTTGAAAAGGTGAGTTTTGCATGGCAAAGAAGTTTCATTGTCCATTTAATTCTAAGAAACATTTCAGGCGATGCTAAATACAGAGAGGAGTGGCTCCTCTTAGAGTGGGATGTGTTTGTGTGCCACGAACATTGTGTTTCAGCAAAAGTCATCTTACCAACAGAAACACTCTGGCTAGTGGTGGGATCAGCCCTCAAACAGGCCTGCTGGCTCCAGCCACCCTGAACAGGATACTTTTGCACTACTTCTTGTTGTTTTTCTTTTTTTAAGCAGCCTGTGAGCCCCTTCTTTAGTGTGAAGTGTAGATCCAAGGATCTACCTTCCACTTATTTGTTTATTTATTTTTTATTTTTACTGAAAAGATTTACAAAGAGAAGGAGAAACAAAAATCTTTCTGCTGGTTCACTCTCCAAGTGCCACAACAGCCAGAGCTGAGCTGAATTGAAGCCAGGAGCCAGGAGCTGCTTCCAGGTCTCCCACACGGGTGAAGGCTTTGGGCCATCCTCGACTGCTTTCCCAGGCCACAAGCAGGGAGCTGAAAGGGAAGTGGAACAACCACGACTAGAACCAGCGCCCATATGGGATCCCAGCACATGCAAGGCGAGGACTTTAGCCAGGCCGCACTCTTGGGCCTTCAATTCCCTGGGAACCTCAACTCTAGCAGATCGTGCTTGTGTGCGACCCAGGTTCCTTACTGTTGCGCAAATGGTCTCCTCAGCCTTGCAGTGACCGTCTGTTCGGACCCTCAGAGGCTGGCCCTCCCCTCAGTAAGCACCATGACCCAGATTCTAGAGCTAGCTATTTTGCTCAGACCTTCAGATTCCCAGGTCAGCTGTGTTGAAAGCAGCTTTTCCCCTCAGATAATTTGTAGAATTTTTTTTTTTTTTAGAAAGCTCATTGAGATTCATTCGCACTTTATGAATATATCCTGTTGGGTTGATTTTCTTTTTTGTGCTTCTCTAAGATAAACCCCCTCTCCCCACAACAACAAAAAAAAATGATAATAATGAGAATAAGGATGAAATTCTCTGTTTTTGGATAGAACATACTTTTGTTGCCAAGTTCGATCAAATTGGTAATTAATTAAGAAATGACTACATTTAATTTTTGTGTAATCTGAAGTTTACCCTTTTGGGCCACAGAATATAATTGCTGATCATCGCTCTAGAAAGAATCATTAAAACTATTTCAGAAATGTAGTCTCAGCGACTCTCATGTCAGCAAAGTGTTTATTGGTACATGACTATCTAGTGGATTCTTGCTTATTCATCGTTACAGAATCTTCTGAGATGTTCTTGGTCACCTGATGGGAGCAAGATAGCAGCTGGCTCAGCTGACAGGTAAGGCTTGGTGTGTGTGAAGTGGAGAATGATAGGCCTTCCCCAGTCTAATACATGAAGTGCAGATACCAGACTGGAGCTGTGCTGAAGGTGGAGTATAAAATCAAGGGTTTAAAAGCCACGTTTATGAATGAGTTCCTGTCCACCCTTTCATTTATTTGCCTCCCTCCCTGAGGTGGTACATAAAAGACATCCTTCCTCCATTGGCTCAGGTCCATGTGGGCTCCTTTGGAGTCCCCCCGTTACTAGAGCAAGAGACCTCTGAAAAAAAGTCTTGCTTTGCACACTGAAATTGTCCACATTGAAATCCTCTTGCATGTGAGACCAGAAACAAAGTTGTTGTCATCTTTTATGTTGAATTTCCCACAACATATCTCTATTCCCTTCTTTTACCTATGTGTGTGGTACTCTCCCAAGGCTATATAGATATATGTTCTGCCACTATAATCAAGGCAATACGGTAGCATAGAAAATAAAAGGACCACTTTCCCAAAATATCTTTCATTATAGCTTAGAAATGGTTGGAAAAGCTCAATTTTGTCTCACTATATACCCACATTTGATCTAAGCCAAAAGGCCAATTAGCAATTCTCACTATATTTCAAACTACATCTTCATTGTCTGAGACGTGGCATTATCACATGTCTAAAAGAAATAATATTATATATCTTCTGTTAAACTTGGAAATTTCAATTCATCCTTCAATGTTCATTTGTGCTGAAGTGGAATTCTCCATTTAATAAGTTCCAAAGCTTCTGTCATTATTGTTCATTGTAAATATATTTTCCAATATGAATTTAAAAAAAAATAAAATCAAAACCTTGTGAACAAAGATCACATCTGTCATCTTTGAAAATATTTTAGGTCTACTGAGTCAACAATTTCTTTGATTTTGCTGGATTCCCTTTATCATCAAAGTAAAATTTAGACTCGTAGTCTGTCTGCATGCTCCCTCTCTGGTTCTGCTATGCTTCAGTTCATTCAGGGCCACATCTCCCATACCATGACCACAAGATTTCACCTCAGAACCCTCTCCTGATTCTAACCTCGTTTCTGCATTTTCAGTGCCATGTTGGTTCTCATGGCTCCTCTTCTCCATCATCGGAACTCCTATCTCTGTGTTATGTCTATAAACTTCCTCTGGCCTTCTCTCTCCCTTCCCTCTAGGGTATAGCTAATTTCTCTGTGCTGTAGTCATACTTATGCACTTAACATTTCCTTGTATGTATTATGTCTTCCATGTGCTGGGCCACTTATCTGTCTGTCATTTCTGTGAACCTTGGCAGGGCTTGTCAGTGCTTGAGCTACTTGGTGGATATCACATGAGTAACTCCGCAGCTCATGAATGGTGGTTAGATTCCAGGGTTTTCCAGTCATCTGCTGAATTAATAGACTGAGATTTTCTTAAATGTGAATTTAAACTGATCGAAGCATTACTTGCGGAGTGGGAAACAGAAGAGAGAATCTCAGATGCTGATGTGTTTGTTGTTATATCTTTGGTCACTTTTATTTGGGAGGAAGTAAGGTTGAATGGGGAGTCTAGGTGTCTGTGCTGGTAGGCAACAGATGTGGGTGGTAGAGACTGGTAAGACTGATGGCAAGTTGGAGGGTTTACCTGCGATTGAGGAATGCCTCGAGCCTGTTGAACCTCATGTTTGTCTCCTGTAGATGATAGTTTCTTCCCAACCTTTTGAAACCAACAGCATCCTACAAATGAGAGGCCTTTCCCAAGGCCATCAGCATGTCCAAGGACTTTCTGCCTTTTGGGGACAGCACTGCTGTGGAGAGTCTTTCTGGGTTCTGTCTTGGTCCTGTTTATGAAGATGCAGCACATGTTTGAGTATGTCCAAATGGGTATTTTCTGGGGAGAAAAATGAATCCAGGTGAAAACCTACCACAGGACTTCAGTCCAGGCAAGCTGAGGGGGTTTTCAATTGTTGGAGAACGGAAGAAGACTTTCAGAACTAGACTTGATTGGTTCTGAGAATTTTATATACTTTTTAGCAGGGATAGTGGATCTTTCCTACATAATTATTAAAGTTGTATTCACATAAAAAATTTTTTCTGACAGCAACTTTTTGTTTCTGGAATGGCCCCTTCTGACTTGCAGTTAACTCATCCCTCTTCCCTCGCCAGCTGGTCTTAAAGTGTTAACATGTAGAAGCTTGGAGGAAAGCCTGCCTGTATCACTAGGGCTGGCCAGGTCTCAGGCCGTCTCCCCAGTTAACCCCACGTCAGCAGCAGCTCTGTTACATAAGGAACCTGTTTCCTGCCCAGTGTTGGCACACCGAAGTAACAAGAGGCAGAGGAAACCCTCTAAATTTAGCATCTAAGTTGCATCCACCAAGAAGGAAGTCTTGAAGTATACCCTTGGAGATCTGGGGTTCTGTCTCAGGAAAGCTGTCTTACCTACTCAGGCCTGCTGTCCAGCCTGACCTGGGTCTGGCAGGTTTTTTGTTTTCTACTCAGAAATTGTCTCTGTTCACACTTGAAACCCTTAGCCAGCCTATCCGGAATTACAGGAAAACTCACCAAGAGAAAAATTGATTGAACCTGAGGACTCACTTCATGTGAATCTGTTTTGATATAAATGTCCTCATTATATCATTAATCCCCTGTGCCAGGAACTTTACTTCAGTTATCTCGTTTTTCTCAGCAAAGCTGTGAGGTGAATATTTTCTCCATCACTATTACCAAGCAAAGAATGACAGTAACTGTTTCAGGTTGCTTAGCTAGTAGACAGCTGAGATGTGAACCCAAGTGCTCGTGACTCCAGAGCTCCTGCTCCGTGACTTTGCCCTGGATTAACAGGGTCAACTTGGAAGTGCACAGCAGGAAGTAAGGCAGTAAGGGGGCATGAGCAGGAGAGACCAAGTCTGCGTGGATACTCTCCCTGCTTCTCTTCATCTCCATAGAACATTTCTTTACTGTGTACCCTATTTCTTAAGAATAAGGCCCGGCACAATGACCTATCAGTTAAAGTCCTCACCTTGGATGCACCAGGATCCCATATAGGCAGCCCCACTTCCCATCCAGCTCCCTGCTTATAGCCTGGGAAAACAGTTAAGGATAGCCCAAAGCCTTGGGACCCTGTATCCCCACTATCACATGAGATACCTGGATCCTGCTTCGGAATCACGCACGTGGGGATAGGTTGGGAGTGGACAGGGAGCGGTGTTGGGGGATGGGAGGGAGAGCATCTGTCAGTTGTTATTCATGGAGAACCTACTAGTGGTATATCTGAATTAACTATAATTATAATATCTTATTTTTGGTTTGCGTGTGGATTATTTTAGATTATGTTTGAGAAAATATATTGTTGGGGGAAGTTTTTATATGGGGAGGGGGAATGATGTGTTTGGGTTTTGTTTTTATAGTGAATTGTTTAGTTTTGAATTATTGGTAAGAATAGGATTGATAATTATATGTAATTTTATGGGAATTTTGATTTTTATATGTGTGTGTTTTGTGGGTTTTAATAGAGGGTGAAAATGGGTAAAGGTTTTGAATTATAAAAGAAATAAATTGAAATTGGGGTGTGATGGTGCAAATAGAAGAAAGGTCCTGGAATGATGGTTGGGGGGGAAATAGAGGGGTGAATGGATAAATATTGTATATATTTGGGTGGGGGTAAGGGACGCCTGGATTTGCAGGTGTTAAAAACAATTAGAGTTTATTGGTAATAGATTTGGTATGTTTTTGTTATTGGATTGCTTTAGATTATTTTGGAGTTGTAGTTCTCTCTATCTCTCTATCTCTTGATTATTTATTATGGTTGGTAAGAGTAGTATATTTTTGTTGACTGGAAAAGGGATTTGGTGGAAATTTTGTCAGAGAAGTGTTAACACCGTGAAGCTCCCGTATGGGTGCCGGTTCTAATCCCGGCAGTCCTGCTTCCCATCCAGCTCCCTGCTTGACGGCTTGAAGCCTTGGGACCCTGCACCCACATGGGAGACCTGGAGGAAGTTCCAGGCTCCTGGCTTTGGATCAGCACAGCATTGGCCATTGTAGTCACTTGTGGAGTGAATCATCAAGCAGAAGACCTTCCTCTCTGTCTCTCCTCTCTGTATATCTGACTTTCCAATAAAAATAAATAAATCTTCATATATATATGTCATATATATATGCATGCCAAGTCCTCCTCCCTTCTCTGGAGGCCTTACCCTTGCTCTTTATGCTCCCTTGCAGGTTTGTGTATGTGTGGGATACCACAAGCAGAAGGATACTGTATAAGCTGCCTGGCCATGCTGGCTCCATCAATGAAGTAGCCTTCCATCCTGATGAGCCCATCAGTAAGTCTGTCCAAACTATTGGGAAAGGGGGACTGGAGCATTCTCCCCAAGAAGGGCACTGGGGATACAGATGCCGTGGTGAGAATCTCGTGCAGTCTCATGCGTTTCAGTGACATTCTTATTTTTGTCATAAGTGATAAGGGTAAGACCGATGTTCCATTTTCTTGGCAGATTTCCCAAGCCTTAGAGGTTTAATGTCTCAGTGATATATTTGAATGCAAAGTAATAATCCTTAAGATTAGACATAAGTTGCAACTTAAGTTTTGTTGGCTATCTAAAAATAATAAGCCTTGAGTTTGAGTAAAACTTTCCCCAGGGTTCTGTGGCGCAAACAGAAGTGTGGTTACAAAACACTTGACATCAATTCCTCTCAGAGGGTGACTAGGAAGATCTTTTGTCCTGGAGTTTGACAAAAGACAGCAAGATTTAGAACCTGATAATGTATTTCCCATAGCACTGTCATCTTCGTGGTTTTTAGGGCACTTGGACTGAAAAACCAGACTATAATTTCCTGTGTATGGTGTTTATGAGTGGAATTCAAGCCAAATCCAATTGCTCCTCTATCCCAAAATTGGCTTTTGACACAAGAGCCCTTGAGCACCTAGTCTCCTTGAACTTGCTTGATTTCCAGTTGTCTTATGTGTTCTTTTTACCTCAGTTCTGTCAGCATCCAGTGACAAGAGACTGTACATGGGGGAGATCCAGTGAGGATGCAGATGGAAGACGCCAAGGCTGCTTGACCTGAAAGCCACCGACTCCATGAGTGCTACCGAGTGGTACCCAGGCTAGCATCCACCCACACATAAGCGTGACTAGCAAGAAGCAGAGGAGGCCATGGCCATATTTCTGCAACCGCCGTATCCCGTGTCACGAGGAAGGTGGAAGAGGCGCCTGGTGGCCTCCAAAACCGCCTGCCAGATTTCAGGGACTGGTTTTCATCTGTTTGTTTTTCACTCTTTTATTATTTTTAATTTTTTAAATGAGGTTTCTTCAAAAGAATAAATATTGATTGGTTTATAGTTTCCTGTTTTCTGATCCAGGCGAAGACAGGGAATGTGACTGAAATTTGTTAATTGGGTTTTGTCTTATCATAACTCAGTAACTGGCGTGTATATTTTCTTCCTGTGTTTCTCTGAGTCATTTTGTATTACAAGCCAAATAGACGCCTTTTCACCAGAGCCACAGGGGTTGGATTTATTGCTGTCTGGGTCTTTATTGCTGTGAATCTTTAGGCCATGGGGGTACTGTCAGCTTCAGCTCCCGAGCAGCTGCTTACTGAGGATAATCCCCCTTCCTGTTTTTAGGGTTACTCCCATAAAAATGACAAGCAGGTTATTATTATTCATCCTAACAAATATTTTTCTTCTACCGGAAGTGGAACAGTGAAGAGGTGAAAGAACATGGCGCTTCCTTGTACCCACTTGGGAGTGAACAGCATCTGGGCCTACTGTTCTTGAAAACACTCTGTTGAGCAGCAGTACTAGACTCAGGGTTTCTGAAATGGGCAAATGTAGCATTGTTTCAGCTCGCAAAGATGACCTTGGCTGCAATACTATATTAAAAATCGGCTTCTGGGGGCCAGCTGCCACCTGCATCACCAGCATCGCATGTGGCTACCAGTTCAAGTCCTGCTGTTCAACTTCTGATCCAGTTCCCTGTAATACACCTAGAAAAGCAGTGGAAGGCGGCGGTGCTTTGAGCTCTGTACCCACATGGCAGACATGCAGTGAACAGCTATAGTTGCAGTTTCTTCAGCCTTATCCACCGCATCCATTGTGGCCATTTGGGGAGTAAAACAGCAGTTGGAAGACTTCATTCTCTGTCTCTCCTGTAACTGTTTCTCAAACAAATTTTAGACAATTAACTCATACAATATGAAAGAATGGAACTCAGTGGTGACATATGAGGCTTTCTTATGATTCTGTTTACTTGAATGTCTTCTCCTGAACTAATAGGTGTGTTAGGAGAAATGCTATTGAATCTGGTGTTTGACCTAATGGGATGCTGGTTGGGAGACCTGTGTCACATTATTGGTGCATGGGTTCAATGTCCCCAGCTCCACTTCTTAGCCTCTATTCCTACCGGTATGGACCCTACAAGGCAATGTTAATGATTTGTGTGAATGGGTCCCTGCCACTGCTGAGAGACCTAAATTGAATTCTGAGGGCTGCCAGCCTAGGCATATGCAAATGAGCCAATAGATGAGAGAGAACTTTCCACTGCTTCTCACACAGGGTGAAAGATAGACACGTAGCTCAGAGCACGTGAGATGCCTGTGTTCCATATCAGAGTGCCAGGCCAAGTCTTGGTTCCTCTACTGCCGTGTGTGTGTGTGTGTGTGTGTGTGTGTGTGTGTGTGTGTAATTCATTTCTCTTTGGACCCAACAAGGTGGCTCAGTAGCTTAAGCCTTTGCCTTGTATGCACCAGGATCCCATGTGGCCACTGGTTTGTATCCTGGCTGCTACACTTCCCATCCAGTTCTCTGCTTGGGATGCTGCACCTGTGTGGGAGACCCAGAAGAAGCTCCTGGCTCCTGGTTTCAGGTCAGCTCAGCTCCAGCCACTGTGGCCATTCGGAGAATGAACTAGCTTGCAGAAGTTCTTTCTGTCTCTCCTCTTTGCAAATCTGCCTTTCCAATGGAAAATTGTGTGTGTGTGTGTGTGTGTGTGTGTGTGTGTGTGTGTGTGTGTGTGTGTGTGTGTGTATGTGTGTTATTCTGCCTTTCAAAATCTGGTAAAAACGTTTTGGAGTTCTTCCTGTTCTCCATCATGGCACGGCATCAAGGAGGAAGGAGAATCCCCTGTGGGAACTTGGCTTCTGCAGTCTGCATAAGGAGAGTGAAGACAGCCTGACCCAGTTTAGCCAAGTTTTAACAGCAGGTCAGACCTTGGTGTTTTCCAAAGCTAGGTGCTGTCCTATCCCTTGGCCTGGGAAGGAAGAGATGGCAGTCCATGGCATTGTTCTTGAAACTAAGGCAGAAGAAAAGCTGGAAAGAGGTCTGAAGGTACAGGACTGTGATTTAAGAAAAAAATAAATTCTCAGGTACTGGGAACTTTAGCTTTGGGATACAGGAATATCTTGACCTGCAGATGAGATAATGTCCCATGTATTGACATCTGTGGTCCAGGCTTATGCCTGGTGCTGGATAGGCCGTATTTCAGCATTGCAGACAAGCACAAAACAGGGATCAAAACAGCATTGTGGGTGTTAAGCTAATCCTTCACTGTGATGCGGCATCCTACATGGACGCCGGCTCAAGTCCTGACTGCCCCACTTCCTATCCAGCTCCCTGCTAATGGCCTGGGAAAGCAGGGAGAAACATTGGGTATCTGTACCCACGTGGGAGACCCAAAAAAACTCCTGGCTTCCAGGCTTTGCACCAGCCCAGCTTGGCCACTGCTGCCATTTGGGGAATGAACCAACAGATGGAAAATCTGCTTCTCCCTGTCTAGTTCTTTCAAGTAAAATAAATCTTTTTTTTAAAGCAAGAACAGGTTGTACTGGACATGGAAGAGGAGGCTGTGTGCTGGCTCCAGCATGAGTGTGAGGGGATGATCCCTGCTGGCAAATATTTTTTTATATTCAAAGGGATGGCAAGATGTTTTCAGTGGAATGTTAAAAAAAAAAAATTGAAAGCCATTCATAGTTTTTCCTAGTGCCCATACCTGCACCAGCCAGGGGCCCTTTCCCTGTACTGGGGGCATTATTCCAAAAACCATGGCAGGTGTGATGACTGTTGCCAAGGACACAACTGGTAGAAAAGATCTCAAATTAATTACTTTTTTTTGTAAGTGCACATGCCAAAGATTTATTTAGCTCATTAACAAAGGAAACAGCAGGATTGGAAAGCTGGGAACCCAATTACTTCCACTACAGTGAGTGAAGTTTGAATAAAGTGCACTAGAAACCCAGGAGGAAGCGATTTATTGTGCCTGCGAGAGTTCAAGTTTCACAGATTGTGTGATGGGACATGGAAAATGAGTAGGTCTTGCAGAGTAGACCAAAAAAAAACCTGTTCCAAAAAAACAGCAGGCACAGGTTTCAGATGTGATTAGAGATGGGGATCAACAAATGGCAAAGCTGCAAGAATCACACCTGGGCTTGGTCCTACAAGTTGAGGTTTCTAAAGTGTATTGCAAAGCACACTTTCCCCAGATAGGTCGGTAACTGCCTTGGAACATCATGGTACGATCTCAAATTTGGGAAAGATTAACTTCAGGAAAGTGAAACTTCCCCCTGCAGGTCTGCTTAGCCTTCAGTACACCGAGCTATAGAGTAAGATTTCCAAAGAGAGGTGACTTGGTAAAGGTCGTGTCCTCTAACTAGGAAAGCTTTGGCCAAAGAAGGCACAAAAATCTCCAATACTGTCCCAGGTGACTGCCTTAGCCCTTACAAGCGCCATGTCCATGAACTTGCATCCACCCTCAGCCCCTGGGCTTGGGAGGAAACTAAGACTTGGCCCTTGGCCATGCACAGGAGAAGTTGGCAGCCACTGCCAAGGGCTGAGGCCCTAGAGACTGCAGGGAGCTTCCCTCCAACCTCAGCCTCTTCAAGAGACTGGGGCGGAGCCATTAGCAGGAAATAGCAGCGTCATTTAGAATTTGAATAGAAGTCTCAGCCTGGGAATAGAGGTTTGAGTATAAAACATCCCCAGAGGGTGCAAATTGTATCCTCACTTTGGGAGCGAGAGTGATTACTCCCGAATGAATAATGGCATCTCTGGTTTTCAGTTAATTTCTCTTTATGACTTCCACATTCTCCAGCACTAATACTGTTGGCACTTAAAGAGCTGGATTCCATTTTCACTGCATGGCTTTTGTGGGCAGAATTGTCAGAGAGGTGTGTTTTCAGGTCACAGTTTCCATTTGGCCTCCCTGTGATAATTGTTTGTTCTCCTAGCCTGTAGCCTCAAGTTCATCTAGCCCTAATACTTCAAACAGCTTATTTACAAAGTGACTCATCAAAGTGTAAGTTGGTGCTGTCTCCCCTTGCCTTCTTCCCCCAGTGGTACAGGGGAGCTTGACCCCATTTTCAAGAGAGAGAAACTAATCCCAGGAGACCTTCCTGGGCCTTATCTATAGTTAGGCAAGGAAAAATCTTGCAGGAAGACAGAAGCAGGTCCCCAGACATTGTCTTCTGGCTCCCAAGATGAGACTAAAGCCAATGTTGTGGCAAACAGACTAAGCCACTGCTTGGAACACCAGCGTCCCATATTGGAGTGCTGGTTCAAGTCCCAACTATTCCACTTTAAATCCAACTTCCTGCTGGTGCACCTAGGAAAGTGGTGGAGGATGGCCCAAGTGCTTGGACCCCTGCACTCACGTGAGAGATCCAGAAGAAGCTCCTGACTCCTGTACAGGTCAGCCTGGCTCTGACCATGGCAACCATTTGGGGAGTGAACCAGTAGATGGAGGATCTCTCTTTGTCTTGCTGTGGCTCTGCTTTTAAATAAAAATAAATCTGGGGCAGATATGGATGCCACTTTGAATTCTGGCTGTGCTACTTACAATTCGGCTCACTGTTAATGTACCTGGGAAAGCAATGGAGAATGACCCTATTGCTAGAGCCTCTGCCAACCACAAGGGGAATGTGGGAGAAGCTCCTGGCTCCAGGCTTCACATCAGCCCAAATGGCTGCTGTGGCTATTTAGAAACTGTTCCAGAAGATGGAAGATTTCTTCTCTCTCTGTAACTCAGATTTTCAAATAAATAAACTAAAACAAATAAACAAACGAACAACAACAACAAAACCCTACAGCCCCTGTTCCAATGGCCCCCCGATGCAGCCACGTCTAACAGCCTTTGCAGACTATAAACTGTTGGTCAATGATCTGTGAATTCACTCATGTCATCAAACCCAAATTGTGAAATAATCATGTGTGTGCGTGCGCGAGAGGGTGTGTCATATGATTTACCATGATCTTGTCATATGTGATCTATTAGGTTTCATGGTGCTAAAAGAGAGGCAGTGGTAATATTTGATGGGGATATTGTTACAATTGGAGTTTTGAATTGAAATAAGGGTGGGGAAGAGGAAGGGAATTGTTTGATGGTGTTGGTTGTGGAGATGTGTAATAAGGATAATTTGTGGGTGTATCTCTCATCTATCTACTATCTATCTCTATAGTAATGATGTTGGGAGGGTGAGGTAAATATGATTATGATTGGAAGGTGTTATGAAGTTAGG